CCTCCGTCAGCCCTCTAACCCAATGGGTTTCCTCACTATTCATACGCTAGATTTTGGTATCACCCAATTCGGATTTCAATGAAGGTATATATATATGTATTTAAGTTTTATTTTTATATTATTAATTTAGAATTTTATTGATTTATCTATAGCTAATTCTACTCCTGTTGCTATATCTACAAATTATTCTGCTTAAATATTGGCACTTCATTCTATAACCATTCACACCAAAAAAAAAATCTCCATTTAAATCTAATATTCATGTCACTCAAGACATGACTTTTCAAAAATTACTTACTTATATATTTCCTCAAGGTCCACTAGATAGAAAACAGTTTATTATTAAGTCATCACTAGATATAGATGGTAAAAGTTATTTACCTGAACAAGTTATAGATAAATTGGTTGTAGATGAGCATGTTAATATTTGGATAAATATAGAAGATATTAATATAAAATTTGACGAATTATTTGATTAATTAGTCTAGTTTTTTATAATAAAATATGTATTACGTAGCATTATTATTATATATCTTTATTATTTTATTGTATACAGTATAGAAATTATTTACTATATCAATCAATATATATAAAAAAATAATTCTCATGGCAAATCTATACTTAAATACATATTACTGCATATACCCTGAATGCTGAAAACATGCACATGCTAATTGTTTATTACTAATTGTTATACAAACAAGATCTAAAACATCTAAAGGATTTTCAATTGATTTCGCCCATATTTGATTTTGTCGCAAATAATTTTTTATATAAAAAAAAGTTTGCTTAATCTAAAATAATAATAAATATACAGTATGTACAGTATAAATTAAATTTTTATTAAATAATCATATATAATATATTAATATATTTAAATTACTTACAGGGTTATAATCTAGTGAATATGCAGGTAAAAATTCCAATCGAACTCCTTTTTCTTCACAAAGATCTTGCAGATATTGACTTTTATGAATAGATGCATTTTCTAGAACCAACACACTATATTGTTCAGGAAACGGATTCATTTTTGGTAACTATATACATATAAGTTTATTAATTAAAATATATATATTTAATTATATATATGTACCATATAATATGTTATCAAAAAAACTCTTACTAAAACATATTCAATAAAATTTTCATAATCACTAGAATTCATTAAACTTTCTTGAATACAATACGCCAGAAGACCATTAATACATAATGCACCTTCTATAGTAAATCTTCTTCCTCGAACAAAAAATACATGTTTTTGAGCACGTAGCCCAGAAAAATTCCAACCATAATGACGTGCCGATGTTCTTCTATCATAGGCACTTTCATCAGAGAAAACCAACTGACTTGGTGTATACTGTGACATTCGTAAAATAAAATTAGCTCTATCTACTTCATTTCTTTCTTTCGAAAGTTTAGAAATCTATAAAATTAAAAATTTTTAATACAGTAAATTTAAAATTAAAATATATGTAGATATACGAAGTATACCTTTTTATGAGTATATCCAAGCCGGTGTATGGCTCTCCAAATTGTCATAAGACTAACATTATGTCCTAACCAAAGTTCTATCTCGGTTTGTAATTCATACAAATACCAGTCAGGTTTTTCTTTCATTAGGGTTTTAAGATATTTCATATCATTTATGTTTAGCAAACGTGGTTTTCCTGAAAGTGTTGGAAGTGTTTCAACACATCCATATTTTCGAAAGCGCCTAAGAACCCGGCTTATAGAAGCTATACTAACACCTAAATGCTTGGCAATTTTTCTAAATGATAAGCCTTCTAGATGTTTTTCAACTATCTGCCAGCGAAGATACTTTGAAAGTGCCATGTTCGATTAGAGTTATGTGTGACTAATTGCTTTCTTATGAGGAAAGAAAAGTTCAAATGAATAGGCCACAACGTTTAAAATATTTAAAACATCTGGGTTATAATCATTATCGTTATTTATATTTGTCACCTGATTTTAAATTATGTTATATATCGATTTATCATGCCGAAATCACTAACTTAACCGAATCGGTAAAACAATCATTCGGCTAATTTTTAACAGGTGTTTCAGGAATTATGATAATAGCTGTAAATGCGGATATCCTTATCCGTCAATTTTAAACGGATAGATCCGTAATATGTTTCGGATTGAGTATGAAGATTATTCGGATCTAGATTAACACATGATATACTTGTCATGATTCTGTTTGGTCGTTTCTGTTGGATGAACGACCATACTACACATCACTCCACTGGTAATTTAAAATTTTATTTAAAAAAAAAAACTTATTAGCCCAATTTGCTGTTCCCTATACAAACTGATCTTTATTTTTCAAAATTCGCAATTCTGATTGGCCGATCAATGATTTTTCCAGATTGAATTTGAATCAAATCCGAATTTACTCAATTCGAATTATAACCGGATCCAATCTGGTGTTATGATCAAATTTTTATTTTTTAGTTAGTGTCATATAATTCTATATATCATCATTTTATGAATTTCTTATTCTAGTATAGTTTGCGGCACAATTGGGTGATTAAATCCCCAAACGACTGATTAAATCTCCAAACGACTGATTAAAGCTCCAATCGACTAATTAAAGCTCCAAGCGAGTGATTAAAACCCCATACGAATTAAAGATATATAAAGGTGTAGTTTCAGTTTATGAGGAAAAAAAGAGAAAAAGGATGAAAGATTGTTAACGGTTATTAATAATATTTAGTATAATTGTAAATTCCGATGTATTGATTTATGTTAATAAAGAGAAACTTTAACCTGTATTATGTGTGTTAGTTTATTGATTTAAACCATTTAACCTTAATCACTATTTGTTCACGATCGAAGCTAAATCAGACCAATTACCTAAAGCTCTCCCACTCGACCGTAACACTGGATAGTCCTGAAGAACAGGATCGAAGTTCTAATAAAAATAATATACCTCTAATAATCTTATTACCGGACAGCTAATTACCAAAAGCTTTAACCAAACCACTTAACTATTTCTAACTAGGATCCGTCTTTATTTTTCTTTTAACACGGCAAAATAACCCAGTAAAAGTCAAATCACGAGTGTTTCATTTATACCTGTCAGATTAAAACTAATAATCGATTTAAAGTTTTATATCCGAGAATTCTAAAATGCCACGTCCATAGCTTGATTAGATCATTTAAACACGTTACATTAACGGTTAGATAAATTTTTGTAGGAATTTTGCCTGAAAAGTCGTTATTTACCAAATTTATCATCTAAATTAACCGACTAATGAATATCTTCATTGTTATAAATTTTTAATTAATCTGAAGAGAATCAATTCTAACACTTCTTATATCAACTGACCTGGTCCACGAAGGTGCAGGTGGCCTATTTAAATTCAGAAGGTTTTAAAACTTCTAGCAATGATTTCTCAATGACTGTCTGATTAAATTCGGTAAAATTTTTTTTTTTTAATTTCATAGAATTGTAGAATTAAATAAAAAAAAAATAATAATAAGTTCATTGAATTTGGTTTAATAATTGTCGAGAAATCATTGTGAAAAGTTTAAAATATCTTAAAAAATTAAATCGTATTCTTCGAACTTTAAACAATGATTTCTCGACAACCAACTATTCAAATTTAATGAAATTTTTTTATTTTAATTATATGGGTTCATAGAATTAAAATAAAAAAATTTAATCGAATTTGAATAGCTAGTAGTTGAGAAAGATTCATTGAAAGTTAAAGAAAATTTTGGCCGCAGTTTCTTTTTTAAAGACATCCAAACTTTGACAAAAACTCCTTAGTACTTACCTGGCCAAACTCGGTCAAAATTTTTTTATTTAATTCTGTAAATTTTTATAATTGAAATAAAAAAAAAAGATCGAATTTGACCAGGTAATACCGAGCAATAAACAACAATTCTCGTTGAAGCAAAATAATATAATGCCCTATAAGAAAAATGGTTCGGATCGGTACGGGTTGGTTTCGGATAGGCACGGGCCTTTGTGGCACTGGTCAAGATCCGGATTTGTACGGGTGTGGTCCGAGTTGGTACGGATACGGTGGTCCGTGTGGGACCGTATGCCCGTGCAAATTGGACCGTAAATGGTACGGGTTTTGCAGCAGTATACTAGTCGATTCGGCACGGATTTGGCACGGGTAATGATACGTAAATTTACGTGCCACCGCAATAACAAATAACAAACATGTTAAAACATAAAATTTATATTAGCAATCAATATAATACGAATAAACTAACTGCATGTGAAGTAAAATTTTGTAAAGAATCTTTTTTTTTTAAGATACTCAGAGCAGCTTTATCAGTGAAATTATGAGATATTGCACTTTTTTAAAAAAAATTATTTATTGATCTTTCGCTCTCCACGAAACGAGCCAACACATGTGCAACGTACACATACGTGTCATCTGAACGTGTTGTTCCGTATGATGTGATATAACGTGCCACCCCTTGCCGAAATGTCCGTGCCATTTTTACCACGCCATTCCGTAAAACGTGCCTGTGCGTGCCACACAATCCGTGCCGCTCCGTACATTCCCGAAACCAATCCGTACCACTTTTTCTTATAGGGATGCAATATCTAAGATTATTGATTAGCGTTAACGATTCTGTTGCAAAAAATCAATTTCTTGTTAATTTTAAGAACATTATATGTTTATAAAAATACGAATCTTATCATTATTAATGAATAAAATGTTAATTTTTCATTTTAACAAAATTCTTTTTAATAAAAATGGTTTGAGGTGGAACAAGAGTTCATTTTTCTCAGTACATCAAATAAAAATTAACAAAGAAAGAACAAGTAGAAAAATGTAATTTATAAAATAATTCATAAAACGATATTTAATGTCTATATGTAATATAATAAATTTATTTGTTATATTATCGTTTACAGCTAAAGTTAAATTTTTGAAATTTGTTTATTATTTTTATTGAATGCGCAATACCGTATAGCTACTGTGATGCACTAACCTAGTACATATTTTCGGATACTTCAATAAATACGAATGTTCTATATTACCAACCATTTTCACCTTGTTCCCGATTTCAAATTAATGCTAGTGATTCGACTGATAATTTGTATCCGGTTCGGAACTCTACCCCACCCTGCTAGAAATGAAAAATATCTCATTATTCCTCGCTAAGTGGGGAATAAATAGTGAATAAGTCATCAGAAATCGGTTTTCCAGAACCTAAAAATCAAATGATTAAAACTTTTATCAATTACTGTAATTAAAAATCAGATATCGTAAATGTAGTTACCTGTTACGTATTCACCATATATGTTCAGCAATTCTACAGACGAAGAAATAATTCGTTTAGAAATGTTTTTGAAGTTAAGCAATTTACTTGTTAGTTTATCTTTAGGATAAATTGGCAATTCGGTTGACAATGTTAAAATAGTTTCATCTGAAGACTGGAATGCTCTTAAGATTGCTAATTCATTTTGATTTTTTGCATCACTATAATCTACTATTTCATGCCATCTTAACAATTTCTCATGGATATCAGATGCAGTTGGTCTATTGAAAGGATTTGCATCCATGCATTGACGTGCTAATTGGGTGTAACACTCAGGGGTGCCTTCAGCAAACTCAGGACGTAATCCATTGCATATTTGAATAGCTAATATTTCATCGTATTCAATATCAAAATAAGGTGGTTTTCCCGTAGACATTTCAGCCATAATAATACCAAAACTATAAATATCTGCTTCCGTTGTATATGGTCGTTTATTTAACACTTCTGGGGCAACGTAAGGTAAAACGCCGTATATACCGTCTTCTAAAATCGAGTCATCATTCTTTCTAGATAATCCAAGATCCGTAATATAAGATATTAAATCTCCATTAACATATTGATTTAACAATATATTACCGCTATGAAAATCTCCATGTACATAATTTAATTCGTGTACCCTCATTAAATTTTCTGATATATAAACAAGTTGGTTTAATTTACTTTTCCAAACAAGTCCTCCAAAGTTCAATGATAGGAACTTACGAAGACTTCCTCTATTTGCATATTGAAATACCATCAAGTATTCATTATTAGTTGCATTTTGAGTTATTCCATATACTTCAAGATCACTGCCCACTAATCTAAATCGCATATAATTTTTAAACTTGATAAATAAAATTTATATTAATAATTTATCTATACTATACGTATTAAGTCATAAATAATTTATTTTAACTTACTTCTCCTAAAAAATTATTACGTGAACCAGGTAAAGTTTTTAGTGCAACTACAAATGATGGTGAACGTGACTGTGTGTATTCACCATATTCACCTGAAACTATTCTTTTACCATCTAACCACGTTGCGGAAAACACTAAACCAAATCCTCCTTTACCAATCTCTTGAAAATTATCC